TTCCTTAAGTCTGGAACATGTCGAACCTAACAAAAGTGTTCTCATGGTCCCATCCTACAACCTCAATCTAACCCTACCAATTCCAGCTACGCTACATGACTGGTTGTTTTCCATGACAACTCTACCGCCTCACATGTTTCAAAATAGGCCTTATTGGAACACATATGAAACAAACACACTGAATCCAAAATCCATTCCTCTTCTGACTTAGATTCCATGTCAGATACGGTCAACACCACATCTTTGCCATCCGAAAAGTCTTCGACAATATTAGTCTCATCTGAATTATCTGATTGCCTCCCACGATTTGTGGCTAAATTACCTTTAGCCTGCAAATTGTCGTAATCCTTCTTGATATGTCATTTTCTCTTACAGTAGAAGCAATACTGATTGCTAAACTTCACCCTCGACCTACCCTTCCGTCGATTACCATGAGACACTAGAGCTTCTTCATCTCTAGATGTAGTTCCAACCAGTTGCTTCATCTTTTCCTTTGAGAATAAAGCATCATAAACATCGTCAATGGTGAGTGTGTCACGATTGTACAAAGTCGTGTCTCGAAACGACGAATACGAAGCGGGCAGCGAGCACAACAGGATCAAGGTCAGATCATCTTCATCATATTTGACCTCCAACCTTTCCATATCAATGACAATTTCCTTGAATACGGCCAGGTGGTCTTCAAAGGATCCTCCTTTTGCCATGCAATGGGAATACAGTTTCTGCTTTAGATGCCGTTTGTTCGTAAGACTTTTGGTCATGCATAACTACTCAAGTTTTAACCACAAAACAGCAGTTGTTTTTCTACTTCAATATGTCCTGAACGTGTTGTTGGAAAGGTGAAGATATATCTGCGAAAGAGCCTTCATATTCTCTCGTTATTTCTCCTCCATTGTCCAATTTACTGACATCTTATCAAAACTCAGCAATGTATCATCTAAATCCATCTACGCCAACAAAGCTCTCATCTTTATTTGACACAAAGAAAATTTTGTATTACGATCCAGCAGCGAAATATCATGTTTCAATGTAGCCATCTCTGAAAAATTCCAATCAAATCACGAAAAATCTATAGCATAACTCTAATACCACTTGTTGGACCCAGAGGAGATGCAAGAATTGAAATTAATGAATAATATGAAATATGTATGATCACAACGAAGAAAACAAGATTAAAGTAAATCAATTGGCGATAGATTGCAAAGAAATCAATGTTTTATTAAAGACAATATGTGTAGAGAATACAAAAATTCAACAATAAAGCTTCACCAAAATTGAATAAAAAGCCACATATTTATAAGAACATAGCAAATCTTAAAAATATCATAAAGATGGAAATAATATTAAAAATAACGTGGAGTAAATGAAATAATATTTTTCCAATAAAATCACGTGAAAATAAGGAAACAATATTTTTCAAAAAATTCACCCTAATTTGGGGCACAAAATCTAACAATAATTGTTGAGGTTGTCCCACATCGTTGTGGATGTAGTTGATAATCAATTTATAAGTGTGTGGGAAAATCTCACCTCTTGAGCTAGCTTTTGAGGTGAGAGAGGTCCAATATCACTTAACATTAGTATCAGAACTCGATTTATCAACAAGTCTCCGGTCCAATAATCATGGAGATACGGGTTTGTGTGAGTGGGAGATAGGTTTGGTCTCCCGCAAGCCTCGTTGTGTGAGGAAGAGAAGGTTTTGGTCTCTCGTAGGGCCCGATGTATGGGGGGAGATGTGTTTGGTCTCCCGTAAAGCCCGATGTGTGAAGGGGAGATTGTTGAGGTTGTCCCATATCGATTGTGGATGTGGTTGGTGTTCAGTTTATAAGTGTGAGGAAAAACCTCATCTCTTGAGCTAGCTTTTAGGATGAGAGAGAATCTATATTACCCAACAGTCCCAACCATTCCCTTGACTGAGCTCGATCAAGCACCCTCTCACCTTCTTTCTCCTCTCCGTGTCCTTTTACCCCTATTGTAAGTTGACGTGTCCGCCGGCGAGACTACAAGTACTAGGCCTTTCAAGTTCTTTAGACTTAATCGAACCAACACTCATTCAGCACCACTGGTGTTAGATAGTATTATTTCAGTATTTATTAATCTATTTTTGCAAGACAAGCATTCTCTTTCAAACTGTTGATATCCCAAGACCTCTTCATCCATTTTGACAATCTCCAAATTAATATTTCAAATTTTTTCTACCCAATGAAATCCTCGTTATTATTGTGTTCTCGAACTTTAGTAAGGTAAATAATGCTAGGGAAAAGTACATATTATTTTCATTACACCATACCATAGGAAGAATAAAAGTATAATGAATTTTGAAATCCATCATCTTCAAATTCAAATTCTTCTATTGCCTTTAAAAAATAATAAATAAATAAATAAAAATCTCAAGTATTTTAATTTCATTCCATATGTTGTTGTATGGTAGGGATAATACATTGATCGGAGTCAAGTCGCCGATCGTCAATGTCGTCTATCCCACGAGTTAGCTCGCGTTCGCAAATGGAGTGAGCGAGCTGGCTTGCTCCAAATTCCTGGCTCGGTTTGTCTTCC